GAAGTGTTAACCGAAATCGATCGAGAAACGTGATTCACTTCGAAAATCGTTGTAAATTTTTTTAGCGTTTGCACATCTATTTTTAGAAAACGTTATTGACCCTTAATCGAGAACGACGATTGTCATACAATCATGGTCAGAAAATTTAGACATTCATAATATCATTTTTATTTTGTCGAAAACTTTGCTTGTTTAAAGGGTTACTCTTTGCTACACATTTCTTTCTTACCGTTCATGAACACTTCTGAAGCACACTCATAGAATTCTATTAGGGTTCCGTTACGCACAAAAATATGGATATCGAAAACAATTTCTACTACCGTGCAACCCTAACTTAGAACTTTCAAATAAGTTTTTTTTGAAAAAAGATTTTCAATTTTGTTTCCTAGTGAATTCTGCAAATGATGATAATGTGTGCGATTATAATATCGACACACTATACAGTACTTAAAACTCAAGGGAACTTAAATAGCCAATTTTGAAAACACAGCTTAACACACCTATAATTTAAAACAGTACACTAAAAGTAACAGCGAAAATTTCGTAATAACAGCCCTGAGGAAATTGATTTCCTATCCGCATTCGTTATCGAAGCAGAATCTGCAACAAGCAACTCTAAGATATGTGAACGATGAAAAAAAGTACCAAAAGTTGCTGAGAACCCAATCGCGCTACAAACTAGCCCAACATCTTCCTAATAGACTAACCTTCTCACTGTTTGGCTACTCGAAATATAAAGTAGATCACGAAACTAGCAGAGAGCAACATTGAAAAATACCGAGTAATAAAGAACTAATCGTTATCACCCTTACCTAACTACTGTGAAGATAAGAAATATAAATACTCCCTTGAAGACGGATGTTGAACTGTTCTAATCACCAACTAACTGTTCAAAATCAAGCAGTGTTTTATCCAGGATTTCTGGATATGTTATATCTCAGCTTCGGAGCATAGGACTAAGATAGGACTTATAGAGGATCATATTGGAGCTAAATGATGAGGTTTTGCGAAAAACTTTTTCTGATTAGAGTTTGTGAAAAAAAAACAATAATTTTTTTTAACCTTTTTTGATATTCCTACTTTTAAAATTCCATAGTAAGCTACATCGAATTTCGTCGACAGATTTCAAATTTCATCCAAAAAAAAGCGTTTGTTCGGAAGTTATAACGTTTTGAAATTTTTTCAAATGCTATAGAAACTTTAGCAAAATTTTCAAACGTTATAACTTCTGAACAAATGCTTTTTTTGGATGAAATTTGAAATCTGTCGACGAAATTCGATGTAGCTTACTGTGAAATTTTAAAAGTAGGAATACTAAAAAAGGTCAAAAAAGATTTTCAGAGGAAGCAAAAAAATTACGGCTTTTTTTGCAAACTTTAATCACAAAATTTTTTTCATAAAGCCTCATCATTTAGCTCCAATATGATCTTCCATAGGTTTTACCTTGATTCCATGCTTCCAAGCTGAGATATAACATATCCAGGAATCCTGGATAAAACAGTGAAAGCAAGGATAACCTACAGAAACTATGAAACACAACGAAGTTACTTAATGTAAATGAGATCGACAGCAAGAGAATGACAAAAGAAGCAAAAGTATATCATGTATCATTACAGTTATTTAACGCTCAACAGAAAAGAAGAAAAATCATTTAAGATAACCTCAAACGGAGTAACCTTATATTACTGTGTAAGGGACCACTCGAATCTAAAACAAGAATCAAAGCAGGAAAATAATCACTAGGCATGAAAACTACTTAAACGTTAGATCACATAAGAATACAAAACTACAAAAAGCTGATCTACTCAATTTTCAAACCAATGGAAACACTGATGACTTGTATACCATCTTCACAAGGTAATGCTGCTCCCTAATTCACACATTAATGAATCAATTTTATCTTAGCTGTACAGGAAAAAAGCAATCCAAATGTGACTCTTGAGGAGGCGAACGAAAGAGGAAGTTGTTGTTGAAAAAACGAAAGCTCATATCCAGCTCGAAGAAAAATTCTTTTCCTTAAACACAAGCATTAAGACGAACAATCATAGTTCTTGAATATTACCCGCAAATGCAAACCCTTGACTATCACACTAATAAAAGAAAAAAAACTCTATCTAGTGCATGACATAATCTGAACTCAATGATAAATCATACGAGAATAAGTATTGAAAAAAGGAACTGGAAATTGTGATCGAAGAAAAGCTATTCGAACTCACCAGGTAGTAAACCAGTCTTTGATTTATACTTGAACATTAAAGGACATCACATGCATTATGCAAGTCGAGAAATTGAACTACCAACATATCATGCTAACATATACATCTGAAACAAAATTAAACAAATATTGTTTTAGTGAAATCGAACTTACCACTAGATAGATTTCCAAACGTCAAACTTGGAGAAATGAAACTATTACATTTATAAAAACATATAAACTCATCAATAGCTAATATACAATGAGCACCTATATAACAATCAGGCAAGAATTGTGATAATGAGGAGAGTGACTTCAACTGGTCAATAAATAAATCTCTTGTTGGGCAACTGATACCGAGGAGGATCAACATACTTGGTATTAATATAATGAGAAAAAGAATTGAATGGACTCAAAACAAACGATCTACAATAAAACAAAAAGAGGTAGTCACTGTTTTAGTTAATGCCGACTTATCGCTGCATATCTTCTACCACTGGAACTTAAAAGGAGTAACAAAATACTATAGAATGGATAATACAATCTGAACTTATCGCTCATTGAACGACAATACACATCTATCCACAATTATAGTAATATTTTTCAATTCAAGCTAAAAAATCCTACTCATCGATAGAGAAATTTCCGACCGTAAAATAAAGATCAAAGTGAACTGATAGATGTGGATTAGATCTAGAAAAAAAAAGAACTAATCAAAGCTATTAAAAGTATATCTACTTGAAAAACAATCAAAACGAAGCAAGTATCCTTCCACAGATAGTTAACTGATTGTGTGCACTTAGAACCTAAATAAACATAAAACTAATGTAGTTTTTATAAAGAAAAGAGACTCACCAGTGATTAATAGAAGTTGACTATTCACACAGGACCAGGGAAGTTTTGTCATCGCAAGAAAGAAACAGAAAAATTGAACTCACAATTATATGAATCATCAATCGAGGAATCAACATTAAAACCCATCGATATGCTTAAAGTTGATCTAGACTATGATTGAAATACTCCATTTCGGTAAGGCTAGAACCGAAATAACCCTACACACTAGATATTTAACATGAATACATATGAGTAGATCAGGGATCAAACCTGACTGACATGTTCTAAATTGATTTTGGTTAGATTTGTCCCCACTTTGGCTCAGATTCATTTCGGTTCATTTTCTTTCGAGGCTTTTTCTGCCCCTGATGCATCTATACATTTCTGAGCGTGCGTTCACAAGTATAGAAATAGAACACTTACTTATTTTCAATCAAGGCCATTTCCAATCAGGAAAAACGATAGTTATCAAGATATACGCGACAAACATACGTTTCAAATACTTTACAAGAGTTGAGCACTTATTTCACAACCTTCTTCCCAAGGAACTTGAAGATTTCTACAAGTTTGAAAAAATGTTTCAACTCCTCTCATCCAGACACCGCGAAAATATTCTGTGAACTGCCAAGGCCTGTACCTTTATTCATAACTAATTTTTCACTGAGTAGTTAGCAGTTCGTACGACGCTTTGGGGTGCCACTCTGGGAGCCATTCACGGTTACTCTTCTACTCGCCCACCATTTTTTTCTATGTAATCAACGTGTTGTATTTAAACGCAATATGAATGCTTCGGTTTCGACCCTTGAAATCGGATTAGCTGGATCCCATGTCTCAAAAACATATCATTGGTTAAATTTGGAACCCTCGAAATCTGATTGGCCAGGAGCCAGCCTATGAAAACTTGGGATGTCGTGAAGATCCGAGATTTTTATGTTGAGGGTCAAAGAAACTCTTTTTCCGTTCTATGCGAACGAACACACACCCACTCACGAACGGACAACAACTCATCTCGGCGTAAGACCCTCCTTTCAGTAGAGGGAACAAATAAATCTAGTGATAATTTTTGAAAATGTATAGATGTGTGTAACTCGATGAGAGGAATATTTCGATTGGTAAAAGTAATAGAAAAATATTTTTATTTCTCGCTAAAGTTGAGTTTTAAAGACTTCTGTCAAATTAGCTGAGTTTGCCAAATTACCCCCAATATTTATTTTGATTGCCAAGATACCCCATGCGGGGTAATTTGAGACAATTTTTTTTTTAGTGGTCTTTTCTAAAATGATGCAGTTCACGTTGAGTACGAAACTGAAAACTAAGATTAGTATACACTCGTAGAGAAATGTTTCCGCTATTCAGTGATTTATTTTTTACTGAAAAAAGATTTAAAATAGCTTTCAAAAATAATTTTTATTTATTGTACACAAAAATTGTTGAGATTGCCAAATTACCCCCGACGGGGTAATTTGGCACAGCCTGTAGTAGGTCCGATAAAAACGACTGTGGAAAACTTACGGAACAAAATTTTCAGAAATGAAATGCACCGTTGAATAGAGAAATGTTTTTTCTATATGTTTTGTTCGAAAAGTTTTTTTCTATCGTTTAAAATAAAAAAGTTATGAGCAATACACTAAAAAACTTCAATTTCTTGTGCCATTTTATCCCTTCCTACTCTATCGCTGATTGATATTCATGTTTGTATTACTGAAAGCAAATTGATTCTTCTTTTCTTTCTTTCTCTCGTCAAAGTCAAGCATTTCTACACCTGCTCTCTTTGTTTATCTGTAAATAGACCAAAGAAAACAAAACAAAAATAAAATAAAATAAAAACCAACTATCTTTTATCGACAATATGGTAAGCATAAACAATAAAAGAAATAAAGAAAACATGATTAGTTTTTTGCATCATAATTTTTATTAATAATCTTTTTAATAGAATCTCGATAGAATTCAAACGTTTATCACACACAACCGAATGGTAAGATCCCTTTCGATAAAACAAAAATTCTGGTTAGAATTTAAAAAATACAGCAGAATTTTAATAGAATCTCCATCGAATTTTATCAACAGAATTAATCTAAACAGTTACCGAAGGCCATCTTTTGAAAACATTGAGTTAATATTAGAATATTCGTTTCTTTTAAGAATATGAACTCAATTATTTTTCATAAAACTTCTACAGATATTTGACGTCAATCATTCGAGAAGCTTTTAAATTAAATTTAGACAAATGTTTAGCGGAATAATAAATTTAATCAAAGGTAGAAGAAGCAATTATTATTTTTAATATAGATAGTCAAATAGAAAATTCTTCTCTAGAAACTTTTCTGCAACGACATTTATTAACAGTGATTTTGTTTCCTATGAGACACGTCCATCTCAATTATAATAACGTGTCATTTCAAATAAAGCTAAACTCAATGTTCAATTATTAAATGTATCTTTTTTAAAAAGAAAAAAAAATCAAATTTGAACTAAAATAAATATTGATTTTATTTTAGAATCGTTTATCTGATATGGAAAAAAAATGAAACATTAAAAACAAATTATATAAATAAAGAAAGAAAAATCGATGAACTTGAAAGACAATCTTCAAATGAAAAACTTCTACGAACAACACCTTAGAATATTCAATCTAATTTAGAAACAAATTCTGCTCAAAAACCAAAAATTATCAATTGATTATGAAAAACAATTAAAAAATCTTCCAGATGAACTTGCTAATGTTGCTTTTTTTGTATTTATCTAAATTCAATTTTTCTTCTTAATTAGTATCGAAGAAAATTTCGAAATAATGAAGAAAAATATAATCATATTGTTAATAAAATATTTGAATATCTTCATTTAACTAGAATAATCAATGAAACAACAAATCAATCCGATATTAATTTACCAATATTAAAATAATTAGAAGAAGAACTTTAAATAAATATTGAACAATTTAAATATCCGAAAATTGAACAAACAAATGAAGTTAGATTTTCATTTATTTCTTCCTTTTTTCTTATATATATATATATATTTTGATAAATCGTTTAAAAAAAAAAACAATTGAAAAATTAAATAATAGTTGATTAAATCAAAAAAAGAAGAACATCGAACAGAGGTTTGTTTATTATTTATTATATTTAAGATAAATTATATTCTATTTATATATATATATCGAATAAGATTTTTTTTTTATGATTTATTTAACAATCAACAACAATTTATCTATTATTTATATTATTTCGAATATTCAAATAAGATATTATTTTGTTTTCATTCGAAAAATTCTTCATAAATAAATTCTTATTTTTACCGTTGACAGTCGATATTAACCTCGATATTCTAATATATAACGTTCGATTTGACTTCCTATCTCTATTGATTTATATTTAATATAACTCTCGAATTTCTCTTCATTTAAATGAACAGTTTCGAATATCATTTTTGAAAAAAAACGGTTACTTTTTATAATAGATTATTTAGATTAAATAACTTATTAACCTCGATCATTCATAGAATAGGCACTATTGACTTTTTTTTCAATATAATCATCATAACACCATATTCAATATTAAACTTTTATTCAAAAATTATTAAAAAAAAAATCGTATCCGAGAAAATAATTGATAAAAGGTGTGAGAGAATGAGAATATCTCTATGAATGTGAATGATAGTTGAATCAATAATTGAGATTTTATTCTAACGTTCTTTATCAATAATCGATTTATAATTTTATTTAATATAGAATTGATCAAGACTCTTTTCATATTCCTTTTTCCAACTTATCTCTTTACCTTCAATATCGGTTCAATAATAGCCACTGATAAAATAATTTTCTAAATAGAGTATTAGCCTATCGAATATGGGAATAGTCTGGCCTAATCCACTGAATGTCCTCTTCCTGGAGTATGTCCGTTTGATTGATGTAAAAATCATCTTATGGAAAATGAAAATTGAATGACATCATAAGAGTTACTTTTTTTTTTCTTTGATCATATTATTGCCTGGAGAGAAGCAGCATCTATCATCTCTTACTGTTGAACAGATAAAAATTAACATAAAAGAATAGATACTTTTTTTACACCTATTGTCAAATGTTAATCCAATTTTACTCTGAGTCATTTTTGTAACGTCTCAAGGAATTTAATTGATAATAAATAGAATATCGACGTTGTGATGAGTTGAGGTCTATAAGGCATATATTAATTTTGTCTTCACGATCTTTCTGTAAATAAATAGTTCGAATTCTAAAATGACTCCGCTTATTATACTATTATCGTTTGTAATAAGAACTTTTTTCAAACATATTTCAGATTTATTGCTCATATGTAAAAAACGTTAAAAGCACAGAATCTTTACAGTATCGACGTTGACTTTAATTATCGATATGTAGATGAAGGTGAAAATCCAGACAACGGATGTTCTCTTAATAGTGTCTTTGAAAAAGATCGTTAATTAAAATTGGTATATACCTTATATGAACTCATTGCTGTTTTCTTTATTTTTTCTTCGTAAATCGACTATCAGATTCTGAAAAAGTTCCTTTGTTTACACAACTATTTATTTATAATCATCATTAAAAACATTGTCTTTTATATCTTATATTGACGAAAAAAAAAAACATTAGTTTTAGTAGATTTTGTAGATCTCAGTACCAAAAACAAACCATAAACGTATATTTCGTTTTCGATTTTCATTAGAAAGACTGTTTGAAAAAACAAAAAAGAAAAGAGCAAATAAAATCTAGTTCTATCTAGAATTTCTTCTTCTGTTAAGTTCTTTGTTGTTTTATATCTATTATTTTGATTAGATTGATTTTGTAGATTAATCAAACTGAAAAGTTTAATCGAAACTATTTTTTTTTCAACATGTGTTCTTAATTAACCATTGAAGAAAGTGATATACATTTCATAGAATAAGGCAGTATATCTCAATGTTATAATTAACCAAAAGAAAATCAAACTAAACAATGGATGTTTAAATCGAATTTTTATTTCTTTATAGATTTGAAGTCTTGTTCTCTAAATGGTCTAAGTACCTGTATAAATGAAATAGAAGACCAGTCAACCGTATAACAATAGAACTATAGAAGGTAGACCAGATCGAAAATGACATGCCCTATAATTTAATTTAATTTAGTTTTTTTGTTAAGTAATAAAAGTGATGAATATCGTTGAATAATATAAGTAAATAGTCGATTGTCTAGTCGAATCTAGTTCAAACAAGTTAAAATATGATTGTAAGAGATGATTTGTTTATCTATTTGGTATAATAAAATTATATCTGAGACAAAGGTATTCGAATTGTCAATAAAATAGTTTTTGATAATATGCAAATATAATATTTCTTTCATCTGTATCACCTTGTAATAGATATTTAAGTGAAAGTCGTTGATTTATTCTTTTTGTGAAACAATGAAGAAGACTTACAATTAAATTCCAATAAAGACACGATTTTTTTTTGAGATATATTTCTATAAATTACTTTTGATATAAATATGATAAAACTTCATAAAAAACATATAGAAATAGATTCAAATTGAAATGTTAATTGAAGAGTATTTTCTATTCAATGAAAATAAACTCTCATACAATTTATTAATGCTATTGAATATGATTGACTATTTGAAAATAATTAGAAACTTATTATAGAATACAAATATTATCTTCCTATGTTGATTCATCTGCATTATTTTTATTTATTTCGTTTGATAACAATCGTTGTCTTCACAACAAAAATATATCAGTTATTTTGTTTGTCTTTGTTTTTTTAATTAATGCATTTGTTGGTGTATATCATCATGATGAAAGTTTAACAATAAGTTTAGAACAATGTGACATTGATACAGATACATATTCCTAAAGAAAGAAAAAAAAACGAATAATTAAATTGGAGGAATTTAGATAAACAAATAGGTATTTGACTTATTCAATTGAGACAAGAGAAGAAAAGCAAAAATATTCTCAAAATGTCTAAACAGATGAAATAGAAATAAAATAACGTTAAAGGCAGGTGAATTATAAATAGAATCTTGTCTAATAATATGGATCAGGTATTCTTGTCTTACAATTTATTTTCCTAACTAAACATTCAATTAGGATACAGAGATGATCATTTCATATATTATCTTTAGGTTTTTTTTTCTTGCTTATAACATTTTTAAAAATTCACTGTAAATTTTATTGCAATGATTATTTATTCGATTATTTTTTTTCGTAAACTCCTAGTAGCATTCCACAAGGAAACCGATAAATAAATGAAAGGCTTTAATCATAATATAGATAGATATGATTATGTAAGAGATAGGTCAATTCATAAGACTATGAAAAGACTACATTTTTTTAAAATTATTCGTTAAATATGCGAATAATTTTTAACCATGATAACAATAATTTGAAACGTTTTAATAAATTATTGGAATAACTATGTATAAACATATATACAGGGTGTCCCAAAAGTCGCTTAGCAAAAAAAAAATTTGAATATCTCGCTTATGGCTCGAACAAACAAGCTGATTTTTTGTCAATTCAAGAGACATGTTCAAAGTTTATATTCGTAAAGATATACCTAGAGAGACCCTTTGTTAAGTATCACTATTGACATCAATAAAAAATTTTTACTTTTTCACACAGAAAAAAAAAAACAATATACTTAACAAAAGGTCTCTCTAAGCATGCTTTTATGAACATAAAGCTTGAACGTACCCCTATCATTGATAAAAAAATCAGCTCGTTTGTTCGAGCCGTAAGGGAGATATTCAATTTTTTTTTCCTGAGTGACTTTTGGGACAGCCTATATATATTGATTGAACGAATAAATGACTCACAAGTTTTACCAATATGTTAGACGAGTAGAACTCTAAGAAAACGAAATAGAACTAAACAGAATAATTGACGAGTGTTTATATTGATAAGCAACAATTGACTGCCGAAAAAAGTTTCAACTTCGAGCGAATGTTTATTCGTCACACTAGAACAAAGGTTCTATTCTATGTATATGTTTCTTTTAATCGTAATGATTTTTCTGTCTGAGGTAGATTCTGAAAAATTGTTCTATAAATTTTTTCATGTTAGATTTTTTTTGAGATTGAGAATTTAACAATGGTACTTGATAAAATCCAATGATTTTCTTATTGGTTATATTTCCAAAAAAAAAATGATAAACATTGAAATCATGTAAATAGAATTGATAAATAGACATCTATTCTACAACAATAGATCCAACAAATTAAAAAAAAATCTCTGTCGAAATTTATTCTGTTTAAATGAATTCTTCCAAAATTTCTACATTGATTTAACGAGACAAACGACTCGTAACTGATCTACAATGTATGAGCCCAAATAAAACATCTATTTCTATCATATTTTTTCGATAAAAAAAAAATCTAATCAATGACAGTGTTAATGCAACTGAGTGTAGCATGTTGCTTCTCTCAAATCAACCATATAAGGAATAAAATGATGATATTTATCTAAATCATTGATTTAGAATGAATAAATACATATGAAAATGTATCAATAAGAATTTTTTTCTTTAAAAGAATAAAGTACAAAGATTATATATTGAAATAATAAAAGACATAATTATTGTGTTGTTTCAGCAAATTCTAAATCCATTTTATTTGTTAAACGAACTGACATACACTAATAATTATACTAGAAAATACTGTCAGAGTAAAGGTATTGATTTATAACACTGATAATAAAATCTCAATCATTTTTAATTCATCCCTAACGATTTTAATTTAGTCGTTGAGATAATCTATAAATATGTTCAACTATAAATAGAAAATAATTTATATTTAATTATCTCGATCGACTTATTATTTTTCTTGAATCTTGTATAAAAGTCATCTTGAATATTTAGAATATTCAACAAGTATTAAAACCCATTCTAATAAATCGATTTAAATATATTTT